TCTGAAATAAACCTCAATTATACACACAAAGGATGTTATTTTAGGAAGTCTGATTTTTAATTACAAGGACTGACTTCTTTTAGTAACATGGACATAGCATGTAAGTGCTAGTGATTACCACATACCAAGAAATCTCTCTTTTTATTTAAACAAATGAACGACCAAGAAAAGATTATTGAATTGATATAATCATCAGTACCCGACTCATTGCTCAAAGAAAGACATCAAAACAAGGATCTGGTTTGTTAAGCTGCATACAAATATCTGCAAATCAAAAGTCCATACGTCTTACCAATATTAAATGTTGCTATGGTCACATATTTAGAGAGGACCTATCGTTTCATATGTTTTTATATGTTAAGTGACAAGCATTTTGACAACTGGCAGATGACTTATATTCAATATACATATACTGCCTTATCTGTTAAAATTGACTTTGGGATGCTTTATGGACGAATGAAATTATTGACCAATATTTTCTTATAGATGGTGCTAGTCGTCATGTTACGATTAATGTAAAGTATTATCGACTTCTCCAAAAAGATTTATAACATTCTATTCCTCACTTAAATTGATTTATTACTCAAAATTCTTTAAATCCAGAAAGTTTAACAAAACATTCAAGCACCAGTTTTGTAAGACAGTAGAATTATCTTATCCAAGCGATGACCAATACTTACTCATGAACGTAAAAATTATGTGCTAACCTTTAAGAAATCTGATATCTTAGATTATTTTAAGAAAAAATTTTAACGCATAATTACTGCCTTAAGTAGTAACAAAAATTAGACATAATAGACTCAAGGGTAACCTACCCCTTGAGTTTGTATGCTTGAAAAAGAACCTGCGTAGAAAACCTTTTGTGGTCAATAACAAGCACAACGAAATGACTCGTGTCTGAACTGGAAATATGACGTTGATCGGCATCTTCGGATTTTAGCAGATCCAAATTGAACACAGGTCTGCAATATTTTAACTGAGAAACCTGTCAGTTTTGTGATTAACTCAAATTTGCTATTTTAAATCTTTTATAGTTTTGAAATAGACTCAAGCTATCTCAGTCCTTTTATATTCAATAAGCACTGATTCAGTCTGATAATTCGCAAAAGGGTTTGGATTCCATAAATATGAGCTATTTATTATCTAAAGAAATATGTTATATATCGAATATAAATTTTATTAGTTTAAAGACTGTTGTATCCACACCATGAAATATTAATACCTGGTATCAATATCTCACTAACTACGTTTTACCTTAATCCTCCTGTTAGTTAACTATTCTAATGCTTTGCGATTGACTTTCCAATACATAAAAGATATGATAAATATTCTTTATATATATGTAAAAGATATATAATAAATATATCCTTATATATATAAGGATATAATAAATATCCTTTATAGAAAGAATAAATAAATATAAAAATGATAAAACTGATATTTTTGAACAAATTTTTAAATAACAATTTTAAACAATTCCTTTATCTGTTTTCTTTCAATTACTTCACATATTTGTATTTTATTTTATTTAGTAAACAAGTATAAAAGACGTACAAATTGTTTTCCACATTTTCTTGAAATTATTTAATTTTCTTCTGTACATACATAAATTCTCATCAGAGAGGTTGGTAAATATTTTTCAGGTATTCGAAGGATGTGTATCCTAGCACACCAGCTCCTTAACACTCTTGAGAAATTTTCTTTGTTTTTTTGTTTGTTAACTTAATGTTCCACACATTTTTTTTGCTTCTACTGTTAGTTTGTTCAGATATTGTTTTTTTTTTAAATAAATGTAAAATATTTTTAATGCATCGCATTTTGTTGTTTGTCATCAATCATTTTTGTCAAAATGTTGACTTTTAATAATACTAAAAAGTGCAAATACATTTAGTTTTACCGTTAAAGGTATGCTTTCCAATATTCTGAATTATTTAATACTTTATAATTAAGTTAGGAAATTGTATAATTAATGAATAATATTATGTTAGTATAATACTTTTTTTTACTCAATAATAAATAACTAGAACTGCTCCTTCTTGACGATGACTCTTGTCATCTTCTTCTTATATTGTGACCTTTCATATTATTTATTAAATTACTAATTTTAAGGATCTCTCTCATAGTCTTGATGTATAATAAAATAATTTCCGGGTTTTAATAACTTGCGGTCATACTTTTCTTTACCATTTGGTAGCATTTGGTATCAGTAGAAGGTCACTACGTTACATTAATAGGTTGCTTTTAATAGTAAAAAATTCTTTAATCGCAAAGTTTCAGACATTTTTTGTCTGAAAGACGGGATAAGTTAACGTTTCTGATGGCTACTATTTACATAAAAGCTTATTTTTTTACAAAAGACTCGAAAAGAAACATAAAATGGAGTTTATGTATTACCCATATATGCGTATTAATATCTTATATTTAAATGACCCTTATTCAGATAAATAATGATTTATCTTAATCATTTTATAATAATTTAAATCACAAATGTATACCCAAAGTATCACAAGTGATTATTTGACCTTAAGTAGGTTTTGGGTACAAGCCCTTCTCTACAACCTAACCATAATAAATATGTATATAGAGTTTCACAAAGTAGTATTAGCTTTTAAGCTAAAAGTCTATAATTTCATAAAATTTTGTATGCAGGCATTCATTTGGGAACTTGACCCAGATGCATAAAAGTAGCTGACCAAAATATAAAGGCTAAAGGCGAAATACAGACAAGGCTGGTGTAGAATTCCTACTGCCTGATTTATATATTAAAAGTATATCATATCTACACAATGTACTAAGTGTGTATGAACTTATATATTAATATTCTTCCGAATTAAATGCAGTTTTAAAGCTCAAATAAGCTACATAGTAGCACTATATTACTGCAATCAAAAGCGTGTATAGAAAGCATTAAATTTTATATGTACTATAAAACATTATCAATTATTTGCTTTCTTATTAAAAAGCAGCCGTATTAAGCACCTAAGTAGAAGTAATGAATGTCAAAAATTAAGCATCCTCATCTCGTAAAACAAGCAAAAATAGCTCGTATTATTCACTGACGTAATAAAAAAATAGGATCATATATAAATCATATATCAGTAAATAGCGATGGGATCACACTCTATGGACAGTGACTTTTAAAATGTAGACACCACTAAAAAAAACACCTATTTCTTAGCGTGCGAGTGCAAATGAATGAAATTGCTTCGGCTAAAAAGGTGTTTGATTCGTTACTCGCTGTTAAAAAACGCGATAGAAGCCAACCGAATCTTTAGTTGAAGTACCAGATGACCAATGATATAAAGAACTCTCTTTACTACCAACTGGTGACAGCAAGTCACTGATCGGGCTGGCTCTGGCAGACCTCTGGACACGGCCAATACCATCTGTTATAGTCAACTAAGTAAGTAATTAAGAACAAATTAACTGCAAAAACTAATGCAGTGATGACAAAATGAGACCTCACACGCCAAATCGACGTCAGCTATAGATCGAATTCTTATCCTTCATGACTATACAGTGGGCTCAAATGTATATAACTGTTGACGCGATATGCTAGTCAAAAATTTATAATCTTAGAATATTTCAACATTTTCTGTTTATATAGTATTTATCCTTCTTTGAAGACAAACTCATTATACGATGTTCTTGCATTTATATATTAACACTTTAAATGTAATATCGTACATAAAAAAAAAA